CATTTTCCAAAACAAGTCCATTATTTCCCAGAGCATTGTGCATTCTACATGTAGAGTTAACCTGACTCACTGGGCACATTTATATTTGGCCTAAATTACGAACGATCATGCACAGGGCAGCCCATCCCATAAACCATTAACAAACTGAGGGATGTAGAGAGTGAGTGAGTGAGGATTCACCCAAACATCTTGTAAGACAGGTAATATTGGATTCATCTCCTAGACACTATGCTGGAGCTGCCCCCCTCCCCCCCCCCAAACCTCCCCCCCAACATTTTACAATAAAAGCAATTATTCGAGTCAACATATTGAATGATATGAATATCTGAAAAACAAAATATTTCTTCCTTAAAAAACCTCCAGCAATGAGAGTAGGCTATATGATCAGACTCTCTTAATTCAGACTGTATGCCCACGGTGCACCAAGGACCATAGAATGAGACCCTCAGACCCTGCAGTCTAGCTTTCCTTACACCAGAGAAGATACCTGGTTAATCTGGGACGTGTTATATGCTGCTCTGGTCCTGTGTCCTTCAGTCAGTGTATGATACTGTATCCAGCATGTGGTGGTGCCTGATAATTACTCACATTCTGATCCGAGTTTCTCTTTACAGGTCACAATGATCCAGCTCCATGTCATTGCCCAGTCTGCCATGGATTCCATCTTATACTGGCTATGGATACAAATACTGCAAAACTGGATCCAGGTGGCCGTTTTCCTGGCACTGTGCCATCTGATAGATATAAAGCCCCATGGCTCTCTGCTGTCTATGCTGTAAGTATTAACACACGGCTTACACAACTCGTCCCCCATTATACCGGCATTGGACAATTTCTGGGAATTATGGTGATATTTAAATGTCATAACATAGAAACATAGAAACACAGAATGCGACGGCAGATAAGAACCATTCGGCCCATCTAGTCTGCCCAATTTTCTAAATACTTTCATTAGTCCCTAGCCTTATCTTATAGTTAGGATAGCCTTATGCCTATCCCACTCATGCTTAAACTCCTTTACTGTGTTAACCTCTACCACTTCAGCTGGAAGGCTATTCCATGCATCCACTACCCTCTCAGTAAAGTAATACTTCCTGATATTATTTTTAAACCTTTACCTCTTTAATTTAACATTATGTATTCTTGTTGTGGTGGTTTTTCTTCTTTTAAATGTATTTTTTATTTATTTTTTTACCTTATGACCTCTCCTGAACATTTCATTTCAGAACATCATATAAACAGTCTGAGTTTTAAACAATAAATAGTAACACTATTCCAGTGAAACACACAGAAAATCAAAGGTGCTCAAAACACCTTAGTGAGTTTCCCTTTACCCTCACAACAAACTAAAATGCCATACAGTATAAGGTGGCTAAACATGCCTTCACTACTGTTTTTTTTACACTTTTATTTATAATCATTTGTGAACGTTCAATAAAGCACTTTACACCTACACCTACCTTTGAGAGGATATTTGACTACTCAAAACCTCCTGGCCGTATAAAGAAGGTAGTGTGGACCTAGATATCCCACAAATCTGGAACATTGAGCCTAATCTATTTCCAGGAGAGTCCCTTTAATGTTCTCGGTATTTGACCTGTTCTGAGGTCATGGTTTATAAACTGGAGTTATTCACTGTGTGGACAGTGTGCCCCTGGGCTTTAAGCTAATAGTTCTTCAAGGTGATTCTCCCAAGGAACACGTAAAGTACCAGGGAAGAGGATAGTTAGAGGAACCCAGGAGCTTGCATTCAATCCGACACAGGTTTACACAGGACAGGAGTGAAGACAGGGCAGGTAAATACATAAGAAATTAGAATATTCAGAATAACAGCCAAGGCCATTGTGAAGCTTCTATTTCAGCAGCTAAATTGTAAATTCAGATTTGATTGCCACACCCTCGAGCGCTCGGGAAGCATTAACTCAGACAGACATCAAGCAAAGCTGAATTACTACTTACATTTTTTACGTATAAGCATACAGTTTATATAAGCTCGCACCTTACGCAATCCACCGAATGTAAAAATTAACTTCTTCACCTTAAAAAGACAGGCACTAAAATAAGTTAGAGTTCATATCTAAAAAGGTTTTGTTTTCCAGACAATAGGAAAAGTAACCACAAAACATTTCACAAGTTTAAACTTCCAGCAAAGTGGGTGTAAATAATGTCATCTTAATGTGATTTGAGCAGAGAGCATGATATATTGATATATTAACCTATGGAGACTGTAAGCTCGTTTGAGCAGGGTCCTCTTCAATCTATAGTTCCTGTAATTGTACTATTTATAGTTAAATCCCCCCTCTCATAATATTGTAAAGCGCTACGGAATCTGTTGGCGCTATATAAATGGCGATAATATTAACCCTTTTAGGCGAGGGTTCAATGGTACTCGGGTCATGATGTAGAGTAGGCCATCGCTGGGAGACACAATGAATACATTGCTGTGTTCTAAAAAGAGCAGGGTTTCACCTTCCAGCCTGGCTCTCCAGTGGGTGTTACTGCATAAAACACTGTCTGGACCTGAAAGCAGTAAATGTATTGTGATAAACATTGCCTGGTCTGTGCAATCATTATGCTCTGCTAGACTAGAACACAGGTTTTAATAACGTGTATGATCTAGTGCCTGGTGTGCGACTTTAATCTCATTATCTTTTATTTAATAGAAGGAATATCGTGGACAGTAAAACACTGAAATGTCCCGTGCAGGAATCCAGGTAAATATCATTATAGAAGACATTGAAATGATACGTTGTGTACTGTCACTGGATCAATCTAATGGTGGAAAAATTCTGCTCTGTTTGTGTAGCAGCCCGAGGAGCACGGCTGTCAGCGTGGAAGAAACATCACAAGACGCTAAAGTGAGTGAAAATAAAACTCCAATAATCAGAGAGCATGATGGTCCAAAGGCTGTAAGAGCTGAAGGGAAGGAGACCGGGGTGGAAGACGCCCAGAATTTGAAGACACGACCTGAGGGCATTAAGAAGGAAGACACGACAAGTGCTGAACATTCTGGAAATGTGGGTATCTCTACTTTCCCCCCAAAAAGCCCATCGAGCACTCGTTCAAAGCGACGCAGAAGGAGAAGAAAGAAGCAATCTCTGACTGATGATAGCTTCGTATCTCAGGTCCATGAAACGTCGCACACCAAGATTACTGAGCGCCTGAGGGCTCTGTCAGCAGTAAAGTTTGGTAAGTGATATCCCATAATAACTCTGAGTTTATACCAAGATATTACTGACCTTTTAAAAGACACATTTTCTGAACAGAATATTTCTAATACCAGCAGAGCATCCGGAAACCTTCAACAAGAGAGTCTAGATTTATCAAGACAAAACTACGGCTAATATTTGAGACCGAATTCTAGCTTTAGGCCTATCTCATAAAATTTGGCATAGAATATACTAATACGATGCAAGAATATAGATCCTAAAAAATCTCGCACAAGGCTCCGACAGGGTTTGCTGGTTTTCCGTTTAGCTTCTGAGAGTAGGGACAGACATAACTGTGGAAAATCAATGTGTGAGGTTTATTTAGCCAATGTGAATTTTGGGGAATTGACAAAGAAAGTGAAAACAATTTAGCTAGATCTTTCCTTATCTGTTAGTTTTCTAGGTTTTGCCCTTTAACATAACATTATTTTGTTTAAAAACTTACATTTTCCCCTTGTTAAGATTTACTTCCAGTTTCCGTTCACTTCCACAATTTGTTTTCATTCAGCATCTTAATTATCATCTAATGGCGGGGTACTGTCTGTGTGCGTGTCAATGTTTAATAGCGGGGTAATATCTGTGTGCGTGTCAATGTTTATCTAATAGTGGGGTAATGTTTGTGTGCGTGTTAATGTTTATCTAATAGCAGGGTAATATCTGTGTGCGTGTCAATGTTTATCTAATAGCTGGGTAATATCTGTGTGCGTGTTAATGTTTATCTAATGGCGGGGTAATATCTGTGTGCGTGTCAATGTTTATCTAATAGTGGGGTAATGTTTGTGTGCGTGTTAATGTTTATCTAATAGCAGGGTAATATCTGTGTGCGTGTCAATGTTTATCTAATAGCTGGGTAATATCTGTGTGCGTGTTAATGTTTATCTAATGGCGGGGTAATATCTGTGTGCGTGTCAATGTTTATCTAATAGTGGGGTAATGTTTGTGTGCGTGTTAATGTTTATCTAATAGCAGGGTAATATCTGTGTGCGTGTCAATGTTTATCTAATAATGGGTAAATGTTTGTGTGCGTGTCATTGTTTATCTAATAGCTGGGTAATATCTGTGTGCGTGTTAATGTTTATCTAATAGCGGGGTAATATCTGTGTGCGTGTTAATGTTTATCTAATAGTGGGGTAATGTTTGTGTGCGTGTTAATGTTTATCTAATAGCGGGGTAATATCTGTGTGCGTGTTAATGTTTATCTAATAGCGGGGTAATATCTGTGTGCGTGTTAATGTTTATCTAATAATGGGGTAAGATCTGTGTGCGTGTTAATGTTTATCTAATAGCGGGGTAAGATCTGTGTGCGTGTTAATGTTTATCTAATAGCGGGGTAATATCTGTGTGCGTGTTAATGTTTAATAGCGGGGTAATATCTGTGTGCGTGTTAATGTTTATCTAATAATGGGGTAATGTTTGTGTGCGTGTTAATGTTTATCTAATAGCGGGGTAATATCTGTGTGCGTGTTAATGTTTATCTAATAATGGGGTAAGATCTGTGTGCGTGTTAATGTTTATCTAATAGCGGGGTAAGATCTGTGTGCGTGTTAATGTTTATCTAATAATGGGGTAATGTTTGTGTGCGTGTTAATGTTTATCTAATAGCTGGGTAATATCTGTGTGCGTGTTAATGTTTATCTAATAGCTGGGTAATATCTGTGTGCGTGTTAATGTTTAATAGCGGGGTAATATCTGTGTGCGTGTTAATGTTTATCTAATAGCGGGGTACTGTCTGTGTGCATGTCAATGTTAATCTAATAGCGGGGTAATGTTTGTGTGCATGTCAATGTTTATCTAATAGTGGGGTAATATCTGTGTGCGTGTCAATGTTTATATAATACCGGGGTAATATCTGTGCGCGTGTTAATGTTTATCTAATAGTGGGGTAATATCTGTGCGCGTGTCAATGTTTTTATCTAATAGCAGGGTAATGTTTGTGTGAGTGTTAATGTTTATCTAATAGCAGGGTAATATCCTTGTGCGTGTTAATGTTTTATCTGATAGTGGGGTAATGTTTGTGTGCGTGTCAATGTTATAGCGGGGTAATAACTGTGTTATGTTTTATCTAATAGCAGGGTAATATCTGTGCGCGTGTCAATATTTGTCAAATTGTTATTTTAGAGAAAAGCTTGTTTCAAGGAATATCCTTGATTTATTAACAAAAGAAAAACCTCATTGTTTACTTCAAAAACTGTGGGTTCTAGAAATGTTATAAGTTTCTAATCCTGCTGTAATTCAAAATATTGTCATTTGCATTATGTACTGTGTTGTTTTTTTTTGTTTTTTTTTGGAAATATCCATCAAAATATCATTTGGAATTATAAATATATATTATTTTGTTGCAGGTAACAGATTTATCTTCTTGTTTATCATTATTTCGATGGTGTTCGTCTTCGATAATGCAAACTGTGAGTACATTGCAAACTCGCTACTATAGATTTCGGCTTTGAAACCAAAAATGAAACTACAAATTTCAGAGTAAGATGGATGGGTCTATAAGTTTGTAAATCTTTTCAGTTTCCGCTAAACGTGTGACTTTGTATTTAGTTTTGCATAATTCCGCTTTTAGCAAATAAACCTAAATTTATAAATCTGGATAAATGAGGACTAATATAGCACAACACAGTTCTCCTCTCTCTGGAAACACCACAATTTAATATTTTTAAATACACTTTTTAAATGATTTTTGCTAAAAATTTGAAATATATAAATATATCAAATATATCGCTATATAAATAATTTTTTTTTCTTAAACTATTAAATAACTTGACAAGCTTATACAAAACATTAAAACAGGACATAAATCACAATAATAAGTGTACCTGTAATTAGATGAGATCAGGCTGGGTCAATATAATAAGGAAGTTAGTGATTAATGCAATCATTTATTGTACTTTAAGGGATATCGTTAAAACCCCCAGATGGACAATAAATACTTATAGAAATACTCTAAGCACCAAAACAACTTTAGTTTAATGAATCCGTATTGGTGTATAGATCATGCAGCCACAGTCTCACTGCTTAAAGGGACACTCCAGGCACCCAGACCACTTCTGCCCATTGCAGTGGTCTGGGTGCCAACTCCCACCACTCTTAACCCTGCAAGTGTAATTATTGTAGTTTTTTTATTTATTTTTTTTATAAACTGCAATTATTACCTTGCAGGGTTAACTCCACCTCTAGTGGCTGTCTACTAGACAGCCACTTGAGGGCATTTCCTCCTTCATAGCACAGGAAACCTGTGCTAGAGCGTCGCTGGACATCCTCACGCTGTGTGAGGACCTCCAGCGCCGCTCATTTCCCCATAGGAAAGCATTGAAATGCATTTTCAATGCTTTCCTATGGGGAGCGGTAATGCGCATGCGCATTATGTCTCCCCAGCCGGTGGGCAGGATCAGTCTCACCGACCGACTCAGTCAGAAGGAGGAGCGGCGCAGAGAGAGAAGCAGCGATGTGGGACATCGTGGCAGCCTCAGGTAAGTTACTGAAGGGGTTTTCACCCATTCAGCAACCGAGGATTGGGGGGTGGGAGGGAGAGGGAACCTGCAGTGCCAGGAAACTGGATTGTTTTCCTGACTCTGGAGTTTACCTTTAATTCTCTTCCATTTAAATATATATATTTTCTGTTTATGCAGCCCTAGTCACACATCGCCTGGCTGTAACTGACAGTCTGCATGAAAACAAAATGGTTTCATTTTTAGTCAGATGTTAACTAGCTTTAACCCCATAAGGACCAAACCTCTGGAATAAAAGGCAATCATGACATGTCACACATGTCATGTGTCCTTAAGGGGTTAAAAGTTGGACGGTATTACCGTCTTTTGGAAGTCGGTTGGGGAGACCATAAGGACTATAGTGGGTAAACATCTTCCAGGAGGTAGAAGCCTTCCTACTTTTCAGAGTGGACACACCCCTAACTAAATTAAACTGCTCCATGATTTACTTCATACTCACAGCCGGAAGGCCACAATTACAATGCAATGGAAAACTAAGCAGGCACCGACTAAGGGGGAATGGTTCATGAAAATAGAACACTATCGAGTTCTTGAAGAACTAAGATGGCACTCGCTAGGCAACTATAATAAATACACATTCATATGGCAACCATGGTTAACCTACATGACATCCACACACCACCGAGAACCAACAGGTGCAGACACATAAAGGGGGACATCTACTATACAGTTACTTTGGGCCTAGATCCCTACACGTCTATTTAGGCTACAGGACCGATAATATACAATATATCGAAAGCAGCACAACTGCCACATGTACCAGTCTAACAGTCACTTTATGATTATATTGTTAAAACCTTCAAATCTGAGTGACTACGTATCATGATGTGATGTTTCTATATCATTTCTGTCATACTGTGTCAGAATTATGTAAACAAAATCCCACCCTACATTGTCTTGTGCAAAATGTAACACTGGTGTATACTCTGATGCATCATGACTTGATACTCAAATATCATTAAAAAAAAAAAAAACACAACGTGCTTTAGAGGTTTTCTCCTGCTCCATAAATCAAACTTTAATTTCATACAGCAGGCTCCTACAGGGTGTAGCAAGATATTAACAGAGAAAGAGATAAGAAATTCTAAATTAAACATAACTCGTAATAAAGGAAGTGTAAACATTGGATGCTTCTTTACAGGAAGTGTTTAGGAAGGCTGTGTAAGTCACAGGCCAGGAGGTGTGACTAGGGCTGTATAAACAAAGTGATTTAACTCCTAAATAACAGAGGATTGAGCAGTGAGAATGCAGGGGTATGATCTATACATCAAAACTGCTTCATTCCGATAAAGTTGTTTTGGTGCCAATAGTGTCCCTTTAGATTTGGGTGCAGTCAGACTTGGTGGATAACTGGTGACATTGGATGGAATAATAAGAAAGGGAAGAGTTGCAGCAGTAAAAGCTGTTAAACTGTTATAGTAGGGTAATGTTGAATAGGGTGATATACAGGATCGTCTTTAAGGAGGGGCAAAAGGGGCAGCTGCCCCGGGCCCAGTTACTCCTGGGGGCCCTAAGGCAGCTGCCCCACGGGCCCCCTGCGGCACCTGAGGTAATCAGGAGCCACAGCCCTTTAATACTGCTCTGGACCGGCCCGGGCCCCTGTTTATATTGGGGGTGGCTGACTACATACTCACAGCTAGCCCCCTCACATACTGCCCTGTGAGTCTTTGTTTCCTGGGCATGCTGGGAGGCAGTGAGGTCAGATTGCTTCCTCCCAGTAAGAACTGATCACTTCCTCCTCAGTGCCGCTGGGGAGGAGGCACACACCACATGGAGGAGGATGCAAGCATTGTGGGGGAGAGGGACTGAGAAAGCTGATGGCAGACTCCCATCAGCCTGGGCCAACAAGCTCTCACTGGACCCCAGGGAAGCCACCTTTCTGTACCCAAAATGTAAGGGGACAGGAGGGTGGCTAAATATGTTTTGTTTTTTGTTTTGCTAATTTCTGATATCACTTTTATTCAAGTGTTGGTGTTTGTAATGTAACACACAGGGAATAAGTACATGTTAAAAATCCTAGAAGAACCTGACAGTTCCCTATTAAATATAAATTTTAAAAGTATTTATTTTAACATATTATTGCATCAAGTGTTATCAAAGGCTGTATACCATTTTCAAATGTCACTTTTGCCAAATTCTGGACCAGGGTATTGTGATAAAGTGAAGGCAGATAGGCCTTTTAACCCCAGGGGGAGTATGTGTAGTTTGTGTTTTGCACAACACAAAGCATTGTTTAGTTATGGGCCCCTGGGGTGGAGCATTTGGAGAGAAGGGTGGGCTCCACTCCAGTTTAGTGGTTTTCTGGGGAGACATGGATCCAGGCCAGGGTTTTTTTTGGATCGTCTCCAACCCACTGCTCAGCTGCAGTTAATGAGCTGTTGCAGTGGGAATAAACTCCTCCCTGCTAGGCAGGTAAAGGGGGATTGCTGGCTTCCTCCCAGGAAGCAGGTAGGAGAGAGAGGCTGTTCTCTCCAGATAGTCAAGGAGACTAGGCACTGGGAGTGCAGATGGAAGCAGTCAAGGCTGGCTTGGAGGCACTGGGAGTGCAGAAAGGAAACAGTCAGGGCAAGGCTGGCTTGGAGCACTGGGAGTGCAGAAAGCAAAGCAGTCAGGGCAAGGCTGGCTTGGAGCACTGGGAGTGCAGAAAGGAAAGCAACATGCTAGCCAGCAGAGTGTTGCTAACTAATAAGGTTGGTGCCATATGTTTTGTTAGTTTAACCCTGAGAGAGAGGGACGTTCAAAGTGAGTTAGTGCTCAGACGTAGCTAGGTTTTTGTTTATAGGGTTTTGTGTTACATTTATGTTTTAATTTACTGCTGTATCCTGTGTGGATTTGCAAATAAAGTGCCTGGAGTATATGCAACTACAAGGACTGTGCATGTTTTTGCCCTAGAGGACCGTGCTACCTGCAAACAAGGATCACAGTGTGTAAGAACAGAGTTGAGACATTATATTGGCCAAGATTGCTGGGAGTTGCTGTCCAAGAGCTGCTAGAAGGCAGATATTAAAATATGTAAATGTACACATTTATGTGTGTGTATCTGGCTGTGTTTATGTCCTTGTGTGTATCTGGCTGTGTTTGTCTGTGTGTCAGTGTTTCTGTGTGTATGTATACCTCATACACCTGTATGTGCACTGGTGTGTGTGTGTAAGTGTGCATCTGAGTGTGTGGTAATGCATACAGCCCAGCATTTTAATGCCAACACAAATACACTCCTACATTCCATCTCTAGCACTGTACACATATACACCCCTGCATTTATACCTTTATGTATGTGTGTGTGTGTGTATACCTGTGCCAGTGTGTGTATATCAAAGTGCTTGTATCTGTGTGTCAAAGGGTGTGTGTATGTGTCAAGGTGTGAGCATGTGTGTATCTGCGTGTTAATGTGTATATATGTTATAGAAATCACACAACATGCAAACAGACCCCTGCAAACACAAACATTACAAACACACCAGTTTGCTGAAACACTAATACTACACACAAATGTACACATGTATTTAAAAGACACTACATCCAAACACCCCCCTGCATGCAAATACAAACATTACATGCAAACACATTCCTGTATTAAAACGCTAAAATTATATACAAACACCAACTCTACACACAAAAGTACACCTGCATTTAAAAGCCAGCACTACAGACAATCACACATCCCTGCATTAAAATGCAAACACTACACACAAGTACACCACTGCATTCCAATGGTAACAGTACATACAAATACACTCCTACATGCACAAATACACTCTATACAATAACATGCTGACATTCAATTGCACAAACACTGCTCAAAAATACAACCCTGCAAGGATGGTAGATCCCCAGCTGGCATAGCATGGCAGGAGTTGTATGACAGATGGGGATCTATCTTTTCTTTACTCTTGTGCTACAGGGCAGGCCTGAATTATAATTTTTTTTGCACCAAGGCACTCTCTACATTAGTTTCGCCTCTAGGTTGGGGTGGAGGGAGTGATTGCATGCCCAGGGGGCCCAAACAGATGCTTGCCCAGGATCCAATCAATATTAAAGACGGCCCTGGTGATATAGGTGGTGGTAGCAGGACTTGTGATGTTCTATTTTGTGACATTGTTTGAAAATGAGATACATGAGGCTGAGAGAACGGTAGGCTGGAGCCAGTTGTTCGGGTTTGGGGAGAGGCGGATGTGAGAATTAATTCATGTAAGGACTTTTGAAGCTGCAAGCCGGCAGCGCACCCAGTGACACAGTAATGTGTGGAGTTAGAGGGTGCGTGTTCCGAGTGACTCAGTAATGGGTGGAGTTAGAGGGTGCGTGTTCCGAGTGACTCAGTAATGGGTGGAGTTAGAGGGTGCGTGTTCCGAGTGACATGGCGATAGTCACACATTTCATTTTCACTAATCCTGTACTCTTCCTCCCGCAGGCTCTCCAGCACCCAGTGTAAAGTCTGTAAATCAGAAATATGAATTCTGCAACAATTCTTTGAACCTGGCAAACAGACACATGATTGTTATCATGCATATGAAGACCGTTTGCAGTTCCAAGCAAATAATATTTAAGTGTACATTAAAAGGTTTTACAGCGTACCTTCACAATGAGTCCTGCGTTTACATGCAAACACCAGACGAGTTCATTAAAACTTATCACCTGGAATATGGAAATAGAGGGGAATTCATTATATCTACACCCATAGGTAGGTTGCCAATCACATCACAAATATGTGCTCATGTATCTACCTCTCCATGTCTGTCATTATCTGTCATCACCCAACACTCAATGTTTGTCATTATCTGTCAATCTGTTATCATCCAACTCTCAATGTCTGTCATCACCCAACGCTCACTGTCTGTCATCATCTGTCAACACTCAACGCTCAATAGCAAATAGTTAAAAATAAAAAACCTTGGTGTAGTGATTCAATCTACCGAACAACCGCACAAATGAATAGACCACCTGGGAGCTGGAGTGTGCCGGCAATTAGCCTCCCAGAAGCTGCGGTTAACCGCAGCTTAATTGACGAATACTGGGTAGCCGCCATTCGTATGACGAACACAAGGTCGCGGCCATTTTAAACCCGCGAACGCACAGCGGTGTTCGACACCTAACTCATGGAACTAAAATCGGACACAGTTTGGCGCGAACACCGCTGAAGCCGCCAACCTCCTTTCTTGTTCGGCGGGAGTGCACAAACTGCCCTGTGTTCGGGAATTTTACCTGACTATGTTATACCCCAGATAGGAATCCCGTGGAGCCCATTCGTATGAGAACTGACTTTGTGGGCACTTTGGCTCCATGGCGATTAAACTGTATTCGTGTGGTCTGAGCGCCATTCGCTTAATAATGTGCGCTCAGACCTGAGCTATCTGGGGATAGGTTAAATGTATGATTTTAATGTTATGTGTCTTGCATGGTATATTTTAATAGTAATTCTTGTGTTAGTATCCCAGCGTGCATAATGGCGATTTGCCTTTGTCCTGGGAGATAATTGAATTACTTCTCAATTATCTCCAGGGCAGAGAGGAGGAAGCCAGGATGCATTATGGGAATGTAATGTGACTGTCTGTTCTGTTTTTCTGATCGTCTGTCTTTTGTCCGTCTCCCATTTGATTTCCTAGGGGAGTGTACACCAGGTGGGAGACCTGCATAAATACTGGGCAGGTAGCCCTCATTAAACAGACCACTGCTTGACCCTCAACACGGAGCCTTGTCAGATGAGTCTTTGGGGGGATTTACTGTATGCTGATAGAGACTGACTGCTAGGAGTGTAAGCCGCTTGGAGGCTTTTCCTATTCGTCTACTAGCAGCTATTCGTATGGTTCCAGTTCGGGAGTTTGGAGTGCTATATTGTATGCAGTTCGGGAGATTGGAGCATTCCCTTACATGCGGTTCGGGACTTTGGTGTTCTACAGTAGCTGTGCCTGCATCTCTGAAAGGGGACGATCGCCTAAACGGTTTTAACCCCTTGTGTGCTGAAACGGTCAGTTACAGCTATGTTTATAAAAAAAATGGGTTAACCCTAGCTGGACCTGGCACCCATACCACTTCATTAAGCTGAAGTGGTCTGGGTGCCTAGAGTGGTCCTTTAATGTATTAAGGTACTTTTGGGGTGTTTGTTTTTTTGGTTTTTTTTTATTATTTTTTTTTGTGCCTGGAGATAATTGAGTTTAATACAGTGCTTGACTCAATTATCTCCCAGGCACAGAGGAGGGATTATCTTGTTTTGTATGGGAATGTCCTGGACCTGAGAGCCAATGTAATCATGTGTGTGTTTTTACTGTAGTCTACTCTCAGGTCCAGGGGGGAGTGCCCCTTGCATGGGGACCTGCATATAAGGCCAGTTGTGGCTGCCAATAAACGTATTCCTGCTTGTACTCTCAGAACTAGGTGTTGTCCGGTTACTGGGAGGGGAAAGGGCTAATCACTGTTCCAGCGTGGAGGATTCAACATGGAAAGTCCTGGTAAGGACTAGAGCTCCCAGGACTGAGTGTCGTCCAGTGCCTGGGGGTTGCTAGGGCGAATTCTCCATTCGGCCCCAGGAGGGAGTGGTTCCAGGGCCCCAGTCCAGTCACGGCAACTGAGGGCTAGAGTGCTGAGGTTTGTCCTCTGTTCCAGTTAATAAGCCGTCCTTGGCAGAGGTACCCAGCCAGGGGTACAGGGAGCTCTGCTACAATCTTTTACAGCTGGAGCTCTACATTGGACTTTTCGCCTCCTGGGCTGCCTCTGCCATTTTGGGAGCAGTGCTTGCACTCGGATTGGGTCCCTGCGGCTCTGCCACGCTTTCTCTGGGGCGCAGGTGAATCTCTGGGGGTGGGGGAGATCGGGGGCCATGTATCAGGTTTCCAGCCATCTCCCACACGCTGACCAAACTTGTAGGCCGCACTTGAGGGTGAGGTGAAAGTGTCATGAAGCATCGCTTGTTTGGTACCAGTGTCACTTCTTCTCTGGTATCCTTTCTGTGAGATTTTAGCCTCATTTGTTGTGTATTTCGGCTGTTTTAGTGTCTTAGAGGAGAAGCTGCTGGAGCATGCTTCCACTCGGCTCAGCGGTCAGACCTCGCCCCCTCACATCTTTTTTTTGCTGTTGATCCGAAAGAATGCAAAAATCCAGTTACATTTTTTTTTCAATTTTGCAGCAAACTTCTTTACCACAGAATGGCAGTCAGATCTCTCCGCAGATCAGCATTGTATTTATCATGAGGCTAACATGGCCTTGGGTTGGCACTTTAACCCCTTAAGGACACATGACGGAAATATTCCGTCATGATTCCCTTTTATTCCAGAAGTTGTGTCCTTAAGGGGTTAATGAGGGGGTGGAAAGTAAATGCCTCCCCCAGACACTAGTGTTTGCCTGTCATGGAGCGCTCGGCTACCTCGCGTGCCACGCAGTGATGCTGGAAGCCAGACTATGACGTCACACCGGCCCTGGCATCCCTAAACGGCACGCCATGGAACAGCGCAAGAAGATAACAGCCACAGTAGCCACGCTGGATCCCAGAGAAAAGATCCACTCAATCTTTCCCAAAGGATAGGGTGAGCTTTTGTTGGGGATAAGGGTTGCCCTCGAAGGCACAATAGGTAAGGGCTCAAACAGCCCTACTATCCCCTCGTTGTTATCCTTAAGATTAGGATCTCTCCACAATATTTTATTTTTGATCGGTGCCTGTGATTCCATTGGAACAAGCGCATATTTAACTATTACCGAGAAGCTGTAGTTATCTTTGTCACCCCAGTGTTAGAGAGTATAATACCGTTGGGAATTGTAATTGTCGATATATGTACCACTACTGCATACCACAACTGTTATAAGTACACCAAGGCTGTAGACGTTACAATAATGTTATTTTCTGCAACTGTGAAACTGCAGCAACCTTACATATTGTAGCTGGTTAGCAAATCATCTTTTTGTATCTATATCAATGACCACTTTTCTACCGTTTTGCTAGTGTTAATTGGGCAATAGCTTAGTAGAGCCTTGTACTGTCTACTCATAATATTGTCTGTTGAGATAAATTATCTTGACATTTCGTCCCCGATCTTACGAGCTCGAGTGGGTCATTAGGGAACCATGACAATTGCCATTACCACTATATCAATATTGTTCTGTATAATGACAATTAAATAAAAGTCAACTTGTCCACTATTTTTGGACATTTTAATTTATGAATTATTAAGTGATGTTTTAACGTTTAATTGTAATTTATCTTTTCAGTATTCCACTTTTTCTATACATTTTATTTTTGCATTCTCCAATTCTCTGTTTGGTATGTCCTTTAAATATTATATATAATATGTATGGGTGCACGTAAACATGGGAAAATTGTGGTAGAATGAACGCATTGCAAAAATGCCCATGAGGTCTTGGTCACACACATGCTGCATCTCAAAATATACTTGGTACTCGTGGGTGAATACAGTCCGGCCCCGGAGCTTTGTTTATATTAACTTTCTTGCTGCTGTAGCACCTTGTCTTGAGTCATCCAATTCCAAAATTTCTGCAAGCATTTTTGCAGCAATGATTTGCATACGTTTTGCCATTGGATCCTCCTTATTTTTTGCTGATGAAAATGCTGTGCCTTTACCTTGTCTTCATTAAATAATGTTTTCCATGTGTATCTACACTTACATGTGTTTTTTTTTTTTTTTTTCTTCAAGAATTGATGTAAGTTTATGGGGTTAGTTTTGCCTTCTTTGGCTATCACGTTCTCATTTTATAGCTTAGCCCATGATGATTCATTGTATAAAAGCCTGGGTTAAGTTACTAATCAGTTGTTTACTACAGTAATTATATTCTTCCTCTGAAAATCTCTGGGATAGCTAAATCGGGTCTGTGCATGTTTAAACTGAGTGATTTCTCTCTAACCAATTCTAACAAACTTTGTATATTGTAACAGATCAACTTAATGAGAATGCATCCGAGATACCGGGGACCAATAAGATGACTGCTTTGGCTCTCAGCAACCGCACAGACTCCAGAAATGAGACGGAGTTCAGCCGCCATTCCCTTCCTCAATTGGCAACCCGTTTAGTTATTATACTCGTTGCACTGATCCTGCCTCCAGCAATCTTTTTTTTCTACCTCCATAGGAAAGTTAGGAATTCTCAGCAAAACACACATGTTCGGTAAGTCTGAATCTGCATCCTACACCCTCCCCGTTTCTCTAGTGATTTAAAAATCACCACTATCCCTCACCCTCTAACAAACCCCACTACTATCACTGACCTCTCTGCTCATTGACTCTCTGGGTCCTTCACCATTTTAAAGGTTTCCCCTCAAATCCTTCCATACTTTTCAAAAACTAGGGCTCCGTACCTCGCTTATCCAATCCTGTACATGACCTCTCTACATCCCTTGCCATCACCAAAGGCTTCCTATTAAAGTTCCATTGATTTAGAGAGACCCATTTCTAGCCAATCCACTTCTTGTTCTGTATTTATCTACGGTCAGTAGATCCGTCCTCCCCAATCCCTTTTTGACTTGACAAGGTTGTCCGAGAGGCATGTTTAATAACTGATTAGTGGGCCTTTGGGATGTAGCATTTATATTCATTCTTAATATGTATTAATACCTAGGTGAGAGCTTCCGCCATGTATCTCCCACTTCTAACTCTTATACAAAGTTATATTTTGAGCACTCCCATTCCTTTCTCTTCCCTGTATTGTCCCATACTGCCATTCTTTGTTGAATATACCACCTCTTTTGCCTTCATAATTTTAATAATATTAAAGTTTATACAGTACAAACCTACTTCTTCACCTTTGTTGAAAATGAACATATTTGAGGATATTGGGGTCATAAATTGTCACTTTGACTATATATTGTCCAGTTATTGCACTGGTAAAAGAACATGGAGCAGAGGCGGATATTAACTCCTTCTTTTTTTACTTTTAAGGGTGCAGTACAATCAAGTTACCAGATCAGATGATCTGAACGGGCAACATTCTGTGGAAGGAGAAGCCCAGTCACCAGTCTCCGATGAACGCCTTACCAATAACACTGGCCAGAATGGGATCGGTGGAATAGACTGTGACTCTGTATAGAATACAGAGTGAAACGCTGGGCTCGCATGATCGCGTGTTCTTATTTGCAACATGTTCTTAATTACAGTTTTTATCTCTCACTGATTCTTTATTCTTTTTACTTTTACAACTTTTCTGATTGCCTGGTGGAGGATGCTTCCATACAAGGCAGTTATTATGGTGGCACAGCATTAATTCACTGATCATAGTTACTATATCTGATAGATTCCTTAATGCTATGCCTTTTTTCCTGTTTGTTTTTTAGTTGACACCTAGTAGTCAAATTGGAAGCAAATTTTGTAGATTTTATTTCTAATTTTGGCTACTTTGGCATAAATGTTACTAATCAGTTGTCATCATAAACATAAGACACCACAGGTAACCGTAATGAATACGGTTTAAATAATCTGTCTATGTGATTTAGAGACATATTGTTGACAAAGGGCAGCAGATTGAGTTCCAGACACTATATCAGGTCATGGGTTTAGCGGCTTCCTTTAACTAAGATTGTACTTTGTACTTTTTAATGGCATTACATTTTTTTAGGGGAGGGAGATAGTTTGAATTTGATACAATTCATGGGGTCATTAGAATGTGACTGTAATCCTTAGTGGGTGTAATCTATGAAATTCCCACTTACCTCTAGAACAAATCGTTCTGGACAGGTCACGTGATAGGTCACATGATAGGTGCCAAACTGGAATCTGAACAACTTCGCATCCATTTTATACCTTTTTTTTATATTATTGGAAATTGGGGTAAAACATTTTTTTTTTCCACATTCTGGTTTTCTTTATTTTATTAACATGCCTTAACATTGTTTTAAAACATTATTATTAATAATAATAATAATAATATTATTATACATTGTTGCAGTTTTAATAAATTGAAATAATTAAGACATTAGACAATTATTTTATGCTTAAATTGTCTTTAATTCACGTTTTGCTATACAAGACACCAGCTCCATTAACTACTTCACTGCCAAAATAGAGGATGAACATTTTTATTTTAATGTATTTTTACAGTATACAATTCAGTCCATAAATCCTTACTTGACCTTCTTTATACACTAAGAATAATTACCAGCCTGCAAAGGAATGAATTTCTCTGCCCGAAGCCACTAGTTACTGATATAATGAATGTAAACACCCCTGCTGAAGCAGTACAGAAAGTTTCAATGGGTCATACCATTCTTGCAGTGAGAACTGGAAGGCTCATTTCACTGTCAGCATTACAATAACAATCCAGTTATTGATAAAAATAGCTATAGCAGTTTTGATTAACTTTTTTTTTTTTTTTTTAGAAGGTATTTTAAAAATGGAATACATGCAGACATTCTTTTTACATTCTGTTTCCATTGCCCGTAAGCTGTATAGCTAGTAATGCATTTTGGTCCTTACAAATACCAATAAACAAGGCATTTAACAATCTTTGTCGCATTTACTGTATGTGAGAATTTGCGTTTCTGCTTTCATACCAACTTTCTGACCCTATATGATGTTTTGTACGATAACAGACATTGTATACTGTCTATAGCTTTTCATGTCCCGAATATTTTTTTATAAAGGATGAACGAATAAGTGAAACATAACATTTGTGTAAATTGACATTTTAATGTTTACGTTTGTCTGCAAAGCAATCTATACACTAAATTGCTGTGCTATTTTTGTAGCCTAGGTATGTGTCCCTTGCTTCAAATAAATGTTATGCTAATATGTTTTCAATCAAAACGTGCTTGTCTGTGAAGGGTTAGTAACAACAAAACAAAATTAATTTTTAATAGTGTCCAGTGATTTTAAAGTAAATAAATGGTTTTTGGACACCCCATTATTATTATTATTATTATTATTATTATTATTTTTATATAGCGCCATCAAATTCCACAGCGCTTTACAATGGGTGGACGGACAGACATGTAGACACACAGGAACAAAGGGGTTGAGGGCCCTGCTCAGTGAGTGTACATGCTAGAGGGAGTGGGGAAAAATGACACAAAAGGGTAAGGATAGTATTAGACTAATGACAGTTGCAGAAGAGGAATCAGTTAGGAGCTATTAAAAGTTTAATTGATACGCTTTATGAATAAGTGGGTTTTTAACGATTTTTTTTGAAGGAGTGGAGACTGGGTGAGCATCTAACAGAGGAGGGAAGCGAGTTCCACAGGAATGGTGCAGCCCTGGAGAAGTCTTGAAGGTGAGCATCAGAGGTGGGAGTATGGACAGAAGATAGATGTAAATCTTCAACAGAGCGTAAGGGCCTAGATGGAACATACTTTTATTATTGTATTAGTGAGGATAGACAGGTGGGAGCAGCATTATGTAGAGATTTGAAAGCAAGAACCAGAATTTTAAATTGAGCTCTGTATTTTATAGGAGGCCAATGTAGGGACTGACATGGGAGGCATGGGAGGTGCGGGAGGACAGGAAGATAAGCCTTGCTGTCGCATTCATTATGGACCGTAACAGCGCAAGTTGGGAGCACATAAGACCACTGAGAAGCAGATTACAGTAGTCAAGGCCAGAAAAGACAGTGGAATGGACCAACACATGTTTTTGAAATGGAAATGACAGGATAGTGTAACGGATCACCTGGGTACCTCCATTGAAGGATGCTCCTAGCGCTTCCTGAGGACTCCAAGCACTGCAGCAGACACCACAACCACCGCAGACTCCGCAACCGTTGTAGCTTGACTGGAGTCTCGCCGTCTTCCTTCCACTCTGGATCAACTTCTGTCCTCCAGGACCGTGTGGGAAAGACCTCTTCCTTCCACCCTGTATGAACCTCCAGCATCCAGAACTGTGTGGTGAAGACCTCTCCTCCAACAACTTAAAAGAGCTAAGTGATTCAAGCTCAGGGGAGTATGCAGAGCATAGCAATCCCCAGTGTGATTATAACAGCTCCCTCCAATAACGAGACAAGGCTACATTTAGAGGGATCAAGAAGAACTGTCTAAACCTTTATTTCCCTTGGGACCAGCCCATAGGGTCACCACAATAACATTGTTGTGAAACCTCAATAAAATCACAAACAGTCAAACCATAGCAGGCAACACACAGTGACTTATCACAACACAATGGCACATTTTTAAAGGGGTGGGGGAGACAATATTTAACAGTAAATATCTCACCTGCCTGCAGAATTAGCAATATGCAAATCTACCCGAATATGCAAATGAACTAGTCTTGCAATTCAGGTAGTGCATATTGCTGTTGCTACCAACAGAGGGCACTAGACAAGCTCCATAGCCAAACCCACCTAGCTGGTAGCAAACCTCAGCAGTACAGGAGAGCAGGCAATACATTTCACAGTACACACACACACACACTATAAACAATTACATTACACACACCCTGCACCTATAATGGGTACAGGGTGACTAAAACATAAGATAAATAAAGCAGCCTACAGAAATAGTCTGTCTGAAGGTAGACTAGGGGCTTTAAAGCCAAATACATGAAAGAGTCATAGTCACAGGGGAGGAGGCTGGCAAGCAGGCCTCTCCTGGACCAAGTGGCAAAGGACACTTCGTCACAGATAGATTGAACATGAGGCTTGAAGGAGAGGTCGAAAGGGTGGGCAAAAGGTAGATCTTGATCTGTCGTACAACCCCCACGATGCTATGTCAACTGTCGATCTACCACTTGTCCCTTTTCAGAAATACCCATTGGGTGACCCGAACTGCATGGGCCACCCGATGGGCTGCACCAGCGGTAGTACTGCCCATTGTGTATTCTTCCAAAGGTATGAGAATCAAACTGTGATGCACCTTGTGCCTGACAGGATCTGTGAGGACATGGCTGTGGTATCTATACTTTCAGAGTGAATTTGGGATAAATATTACATAGATGTCCCCTGCGTACATTTTACCTAATTAGAAATTCACACCTTTTAAAATCTAGTTTGAGAAGAAATATAATTTTTCAGTGGTTTTCACCAAATCAGAATTTCCTAGGAATTGCAGTATCTGGAAGTATGTGGCCTGTCTGTGGGATGTTTCTGGATATATCTGTTATGTGTAATAGGATAGCCATCTGCAACTAACAGACAAAGTCTCTCTGCCCCATATTGTGTTATTTAATACTGCAATAGTAATTCAATGATTCTGTATGTATAGTAATGACATTCTATTGTGTTTTACAATAAAACTTTGATTCCTCACCCGATGGGACCGGTCATAAGTTCCTTTTTGATCCGTGAGCCTGACTGCTCGGTGTCTCTGCTAAAATCTCTTCTAGCTGAATACAGTGTTTACTTCTTGGGTGTACTCAGAGTATTAGGTGTCCATTTTGGGCTTTCTACGTAGAATCACAAAGCACTTACTTGGCCCCAAGTGATCTCACTCATACTTTGCTTATTGGGTGTACTGAGAAGATTAGGTGTCCATTTTGGTCTCTCCACAAAGAATCACAAAGCACATACATGGCCCTAAGTGATCTTATTAGGTGTACTGAGAGGATAAGGCGGCCACTTTGTGATCTCTAAGAAGAAGAATCGCAAGGTCCATACAATGCCCCAAGTTATGTCACTCAGACTCTGCTTCCTCAGGTGTTGGGTCAAAGGGGTGAACACTAGGCTTGTACATTCATTCTTTTCAGCTGGTACAAATCAATAAAATTTAATCTGTGCCCAAATTAATCAATTGTCCAGGATTTAGCTGTAGACTCTTATTCAACAAACAAGACTCCATGAGTAAATCCCAGATG